TTTTTTTTAGTGGCGCGGCTGCCCCCGAGTTTTACCCTCCTTCCCTTCCCGGCGTTCTTCCGTGTTCTTTAATTTTTTTGGTTTTTTGGCTTTTTTGGGTTTGGCTGTATGGGTGTGTGTCAAGGGGGGGGGTGTGTTTGACTACACTTGTATCTCAGGCCTGGGTTCGGGGGGGGGGGGGGACCCAGCATATGAAAGGGGTGGGGATGCTTGTTGGGAACATACATACATGTTTCTTATTTGGAGTCTAATACAATAAATAGTATATCAACTATTTCCAAATAACTAAAATTACAAACAAAAAATTCCTAACCATATATGGCTAATAAGTTACTTATTAATTACGTCCTAGAGTATTCACTTTTTGCCGTCTGCCCCTTTCCTTTTTTCAAAGCATTCGAATATATGTTTTGCTATTAGTTTTTGTATTTTAGCATTTCCGCTAGAGCGGTTTATTAGAAACATGAATATTTTGTTAGGTGACATTCTGATTATTTTTATTCTATATTCTTTTTCCAAATAATCTAGTAACGAACATCTTTTTTCCTGGTAAGCAGGACATATATTTAGAAATGGTATTCGCCCTTCATTTCTATTTTACAAATTGGGCAAATTCTTTCTGCGGGTTTCTTAAACGGTCTCGAATAACGTCCTGTCTCTATGGCTAATTTGTGGTTGCTAAGTCGCAGTTTTGTTAGAGCTATTCTGTGTCGCGTATTGGTGACCTGATGTAGGTAATCTTCACATTTGTGATTGTCTATCGTTTGAATAACTGGTAGGTTCTCATTTTGTTGCTTTGGTTAGCATCTTTTCTGGTGTCGTTATTTATTTCACTTAGTCATCTTTGTAGTTCGATATTCTTAAGTCGTTGCCTGATCATGTTTACGGTTCCTATGTCCGGAAAATTTGAATTAAACCCCCTAAAGGAGACCCATCTGGGCGTGGCCCTAGCTTTTTTTGACCCCAAAAAGAGACCACGTTAAAACACAGACAATTATATATTTTTATATTTTTTCGCGTGCAACCCCAAACGAGACCTTCACGGCTAAATATGATGGCGTTTTACCCAGAACACCCTAAGTGAGAACAAAATCCGAAATTTACACCCCTAAGCGAGACGACCTCTTTCATATGCGGAGTCTCCCCCCCCCCGTACCTGTATTTCCCTCAAAGGAATACACGTTTTCCTCTCCACCTATCTATACGTTACTTGTCAGCCTAACAGTTTTTCAAAGTTCCTCAATGCTTGGGAGACATATTTTGTTTGACACGAAGCTGTGATTTTGTCAGTCACAGGTAACTTCTCAAGTTTCATAATGAGCAAAGACGCGTAACTGTCATTATGAACAAATTGAACTAGAAAGCCGTGACAAAGCCCCTTTAAGCTTGAATTACAAAATTCGACAGCTAAGCATACTCGTTTGCTGCAAATGAATCCACCTTAAGACTGGTATTCACTCAATGTTACGTCTTTTAGGTTGATGTTTACAGCTTTGGGGTCCTTCTTAATGGAATGTTTATCCGCGAACTGCCAGATCCTGAACGACGTAACGAACAAGTGGCGCTTGTGAGGAATGGTGCACTTAGAGGCCTTGTACGGCGATGTCTACATATAAATCCTGAATCAAGACCAAGCATGGACGAGATAATTAACGACCTCATGAGGTTGAATGCAGAATTGTAATTGTAGAATATACAAGAGCATGTGAGGTCGTCCGATTTTTATAAGTTTGAAGGACCATCTGTCCCGATTGGCATGGTAAATCAATTCCATTGAACTGTGAAAGGTTTGAACCCAGGAGTCATTTCAAAAGTACGTTGAGTTTGATCGTCCGGGTGAACGTAGTCCTGAATAGGACTGTTGTTATTAACAGTGACTGACGTTTCGACAACCTGTGCGGTAGTCATCTTCAGATTCAAAGTGAGTTGTATAATACCATCAACTGACGTGATACAACTCACTCTGACTCTGAAGATGACTACCGCACAGGTTGTCGAAACGTCAGTCACTGTTAACAACAACAGTCCTATTCAGGACTACGTCCACCCGGACGATCAAACTCAACCTACAATTCCATTGAATTGTGTATGCTGCCCAGAACATCGCGGCAAACCGTCTACTGAGGCACTCGAAAGAAATTACACCCTAAAGTTAGAATCTTCCAAGTGAATCACATGGTCACAAAACCCTTGATTTGGGTGCAAAAATATAAGACGCGTAGAAGTCAAGCAGTGTTTGATACATGTAGACGGACACTATTTGATGGCGGCGTGGCGGTTTGATTAAACATACTGTCATTATCAGATGTAGCATACAATATCATCTTAACATGAATTTTTTTAAAAAGAGGTTTCAGTCCCGTGTTCTTGTAAAACAAGTCCAGGTAGAGTGGAGAAACACATGTTGTAACACCACGCGCTTTTGATCATTATTTGATTATTATTAGTAGTAGTGGTACAGTAAACTCTCTCTAAGACGGACACCTTTGGGACCAGCACTAAGTGTCCAGGGGCGGATCCAGGATTTTTTTTAGGGGGGGGGGGGGGG